CCTGAGCGCGCGGAGGAGGGCTCCAGGTGAAAACGCCTCTTCCCCTCCGCTGGAGAGCTTCCGCCCCGTTTCCCGGTTCCCTGGGCCGCCTTCCGCGTAGACGCAGATCAGTCGCTCTTCATTCCTTACAATGCCGTTTTCTTTTCCTTGAGGCTAAGGAAGACCGCAAAAGGTAGCTCACCGCATCTGTAGGATAGTTTGCAACTAGTGTACCAAGAGGAAGCCGAAGAAAATCTCTTTTCGCACCTGTGCTGAACACTTACAATTTCACGCTTACGCTTACAATTGCACTTATCGTATATACTTATAATTGCTAGTGTACAAGTGGCTGTTACACACTAGATTCATACTGAAGCACCATCAGGCTTATTTTATTACTCGTCATATTTCAGCGTGCAATGTTAAGAATTGGGTAGGAAGGAAGAGGTGAAGGAGGAAGTGGGGGAAAAAAGGAATTGGAAGGCCAAGAGCAGTGGCTTATGCTTGTAACCCCAGCACCTTGGGAGGCTGAGGCAGGAGGGTCGCTTGAGCCCAGGAGTTCGAGACAGCCTGGGCAACATAGGAAATCTCAGCTCTACAAAAAGTCAAAATATTAGCTGGGTGTGGTGGTGTGCACCTGTAATCCTAACTTTTCAGGAGACTACGGTGGGGAGGATCTCCCGAGCCCAGGAGGTCAAGGCTGTGGTGAGCCCCGATCAGGCCACTGCACCTCAGCATGGGTGACAAGCTGAGACCCTGACTTAAAAAAAAAAAAAAGAGGCCGGCTCGGTGGCTCAGCCTGTAATCCCGCGCTTTGGGAGGCTGAGGTGAGTGGATTGCCTGAGTCCGCGGGTTCGAGACCCGCCTGGGCAACTTGGCGAGACCTCATCTCTACCATAAATAAAAAATTAGCCAGGCATGGCAGCACGCGCCTGTAGTTCTGGCTACTTGGAAGGCTGAGGCGGAGGGATCACCAGAGCCCAGTGGGTCGACGCTGTGGTGTCCATGAGTGTGCCACTGCACTCCAGCCTGGGCAATGGAGTGAGACTCCAACTCAAAAAACTGGGTAATTAGAAGTTAAGGTCAATGCAAATGCTAGATGATCCAAAAATTTGAGAATTTCTAACAAAGCAAAAATTTACATTAAAACAGCTATTCACAGGGTTTTTGACATATTTGCAGGTAAATTTAATAGTGAATGAGGTAACGCTGACCTATTTTATAAATTTCACCTGTTGCTGTCAGGTACCTAAGATGCTGTGATTTGAGAATCTTTTTTTTTTTTTTTTTGAGTTGGAGTCTCCCTCTGTCATTCTCACGGACACTGCAGCCTCGACCTGCTGGGCTCAGGTGATCAGTGATCCTTTCACCTCAGCCTTCCAAGTAGCTGGAACTGCTGGCACGCGCCAAAATGCCTGGCTAGTCTCATCAAGTTGCCCAGGCTGGTCTCAAACCCCCAGGCTTAGGCAGTCCTCTTGCCTTGGCCTCCCAAAGTGCTGGGATTACAGGCTGAGCCACTGCGCCCACCTGACATATTTTTAATCTTGCCTTTTTAAGCTTTTTTTCCTTTTTCTTTTTTTACAAGAATTTAGTAGCTTTGTTGCCCGGACCAACACATGTGGAGAGTTACGTTCTTCTCACTTAGGCAAAGAAGTCACCTTGTATGGATGGATTCAGTACCGAAGGTAAACTGCAACAGTCCAAGAATGCATGGTGGTTGTTTTCCCAAGGCAGTTCCAAACCTTAGTACTAAGTTTCAATCAATCAGAGTAAAACACTCTGCATCCCCTACAGGATTCTAGAATTCATTGAATTTTCAATTTTGTTTTTGTTCTGAAAGACCCGAGTGACTGCAAGTGTCACTCAATAGGTACCAGTGACATCCGTTGAAGGGTATAACATTGCAGCTGGATCCACTGATGACTAAAATGACCCTGGGCTTACTAAGGCTGACAAGGTTCTGTGACCAGTAATTGGGATTGGGCCAACATCTTAAACCACCTGTTAAGCCCCAGTAGCATGGTAGGTGGGAGGAAGCTCATGTTATTCTAAGTTTAGGTAGCAAAAAAAACTAAAAACATGAACAGTGATTTATTAAAATCAGCAACCATTTTTGTTGTTCATCTCTATATTCAGGACATACCTGAACAGCACATTAGTTCACATGGAAGGGATCTCAAATAGATTATATCTTTATTTACAAAGAGAAAAGACCTTATATTGCTGTATTTCAAAAATGGCCAAATGCTTTTAATATCCTAAAATACTATCTTCAGATTTTACTATGTGAAAAGTTTCCAAATTTAGTAAAATTTTCTTATAAAGACTTAAACCAATGAAAAATTTTTTAAATTGTTAAGTTTGTTTTTTCATTAATAAGCCATCTGTATAAGATCAATAAGCTATATAAGTAGACAAGAGCCGGACTCGGTGGCTCAGCTTGTAATCCCATGCTTTGGGAGGCTAAGGTGAGTGGATTGTCTAAGCCTGCGGGTTCGAGACCTGCCTGGGCAACTTGGCGAGACCTCACCTCTACAATAAATCAAAAATTAGCCGGGCGTGGTAGCGCGCACCTGTAGTTCCAGCTACTTGGAAGGCTGAGGCGGAAGGATCACCGGAGCCCAGCAGGTCGAGGCTGCAGTGGCCAGGAGCGGCCACTACACTCCAGTCTGGGTGACAGAGTGAGACTCCAACTGAAAAAAAAAAAAGTAGACAATAAAAATTGCAGTTGAAATGAAAAACAGTCTTTCATCAATAAGCTACATAGATAACTGCATGAATGTAACTAGTAAAAGTACAAAATTATAAAAAACATGAGAAATTGCCTGGGTTTTTTTTATTATTTATTTTGCCTGTTTACATTTGAGCTCAGATATTTTATCCTAAAATGTTCTTTTTTTTCCCCCCCCATTAATCAGGCAGAACATGTTCCTAGTCCTAAGAGACTTCCACGGGCTTGTTCAAGTTGTCATCCCCCAGGATGAGGTAATAGAAAGTTTCCTACTGTTATCTAAAAGCCTCTTTGGTGCTATGACTAGGGTAAGGTAAGTAGTTTCATGAGGATGTCTGAAGCTTTAAATTCAGAAGTTAGTTTGTTTATTTATTTTTCTTTTTTTTAGAGTTGGAATCTCACTCTGTCGCCTAGGCTGGAGTGCAGTGGCATGCTTACAACTATCGCAGCTGTGACCTGCTGGGCTCAGGTGATCCTTCCGCCTCAGCCTTCCAAGCAACTGGAACCACAGGCATGCACCACCACACCTGGCTTATTTTTTAAAATTTATTTTAGAGGCAAGATCTCACCAAATTTCCCAGGCTGGTCTCAAACCCCTGGACTCAAGCAGTCATCTTGCCTCCATCTCCCAAAGTGCTGGGATTACAGGTGTGAGCCACTGTGCTCAGCCGAAGTTTATTGTTAATGAAAACTGAAAACTCATAAGCAATGTTAAGACATGGCAAACTAGGAAAAAAATATGTGCAACTCATCACAGACAAAGGGCTAGTTTCTCTAATATCTAAAAGGCTACTGCAAATTAAAAAAAAAAAAGATCAGTGCCGTAGTAGAACTATGAACCTAGGAAGGATGTGAACATAAACTTTACGCCTGGAGTCCCAGCACTTTGGGAGACAGAGGTGAGAGAATTGCCTGAGCCCAGAAGTTCAATACCAGTCTGGGCAACTTGGCGAAACCTCATCTCTATAATAAATCAAACACCAGCATGGTGGTATGCACCTGTAATTCTAGCTACTTGGAAGGCTGAAGTGGAAGGATGAACTGACCCCAGCAGTTTGAGGCTGCGGTAGCTGTAAGCATGCTACTGCACTCCAGCCTGGATGACAGAGTAAGACTCTGACTCAAAAAAAAAGGAAAGAAAAGAAAATATATATGGTTTGTAGACATAATGAGAGTATGCGCAATTTTTTACTTGTAAGTAGAGAATTGAAAATTTATACTACACTTAATTGTTATTTTTAACACATTAATTGACAACACACTGTGTTTGGGAAAGCAGGTGTTCACTCATTCCCGAAGGGAGTATAAATTGGCACTAGCTGTATGGAAAGCATCTTGGCAATATCAAAATTATAAATGTATATATCCTTTGAACCATTGATTCAATTTCTAATAAATTATCTCACAGTTATCTTACACCTAGACTTACATGGATGCAAGATGACACATATGCAAGGATATTCATTTCAAGATTATTTTTTATTTATTTATTTATTTATTTTTTGAGTTGGAGTCTCACTCGGTCGCCCAGACTGGAGTGCAGTGACCGCTCCCGGCCACCACAGCGTCGCCTGCTGGGCTCCAGCGATCCTTCCGCCTCAGCCTTCCAAGTACCTGGAATTACAGGCATGCACTACCACGCCCGGCTGATTTTTTTTTTTTTTTATTGTAGAGATGAGGTCTCACCAAGTTGCCCAGGTGGGCCTCGAACCCGCAGGCTCAGGCAGTCTACTCACCTCAGCCTCCCAAAGGCACGGGAGTACAGGCTGAGCCACCAAGCCCGGCTCAAGATTATTTTTAATGGAAAAATTTGGGAACAACTTAGATGTCCTATAATAAGAGACTGGTTTAACAAACAAGATACATCCTTATGATGGAATATTCTTCTCAGTCATAGAAAAAAATTAAGATGCAGATACATCTGTGTTGTATGAAAAATATTTTTAAGAGAACAAAAAGAATGAAGAAGCTCTATACTAATAGGGGGAAAAAAATCCAAGGTATATTGCTAGATGAAAAACTACTCTTGAGAATACAGGAGAGTATGTATAGTGCTATCATCTATGTAAAACAGGGGCAGGAAACTATAATTTCACTCTGTGTGTAATTGAGTGTACTTGCTTGTATATATGTTGTGAAATGTCTCTGGAAGGATATCAAGTGTCTGATAACATTGGGTGCTTCCCAGGGGTTTCAAGACAAGAATAGGGAAGTTTTTCTCTATATCTTATATAGAGAATTGAATATATTGCTGAGCTTGGTAGCTCATACCTGGAATCCCAGCACTTTGGGAGACAGAGGTGAGAGAATTGCCTAAGCCCAGAAGTTCGATACCAGTCTAGGCAACTTGGCAAAACCTCATCTCTACAATAAATCAAACCCTTTGTGCCCTTTGAACTTTGAGCCCTGTGAAGATACTACTTGCTCAAAATATTAGATTTAATTTAATTGCCAAAATTAGAGAAAATAAAGAACTTCTACCAAGATCACTAGGCAATGTTGGTTTCCGTTGTAATTTTTACAGATGCTTGTATGCCTACAAAAAATATTACTGACTCAGCTCTTAAATGTTTGAAAGAAAAGCAGTCAACTATCTCTCAGGGATTGAGATCCAGAGATGGGCCTAGCTAACCCTGGAGAATTTTCATTTTGGACCCATTACTGCTATTGGGTTTAACTACCCCTAAGACTAACCCTGGAAGCAGTTGCCTTTAAAATATATGGGACTTAGCCAGATGTGGTGGCTCACTCCTATAATCCCAGCCCTTTGGGAGGCAGAGGCAAGAGGACTGCCTGAGCCTACCATTTTGAGTCCAACCTGGGAAACATGGTAAGACCTTGTCTTCTACAGTAAATAAAAAATTTAGCCGGGTATGGTGGTACATTCCTGTAGTTCCAACTTCTTGGAAGGCAGAGACAGAAGGATCACCTGAGCCTAGCAGGTTGAGGTTGTGGTGGCCCTGAGCGTGCCAGCCTGGGTGACAGAGTGAGATTCCAACTCTAGATAGATAGATAAATGTATGTGGGACTTTTTGTACTATTAATAGTCATTCTTATCCTTATTTTCCTGTAAGGAAAGTTTTTAAAGTTCTTAACTAATAGTTTCACTTGTTATATTATATGGAGTCAGTTGGAGAGGAAATTTACTAAATTCTATAATGAAGTCCTTAAGGACAGCCCCACTATTCATAGTAATTAAGCTGTGAATGTTAGCATTTTGTTAAGCTGCAGACTTACAGTTAATTGAAGATTTCTGTAAATTCCTTTGTTTCTTGGAATTCTTTTCCTCCTTATTCTCCAGTCAGCTGCCTCTGTGAAGAAGATTCTGTGTGAAGCCCCTGTGGAGTCTGTGGTGCGAGTATCTGGGACAGTCATTTCCCGACCTCTGGGACAAGAGAATCCAGTTAGTAGTTTAGAAACTATGTAAATTCTATTTGTATGTATTTGTACTGCCTGTGTACACATTCAGACAGTATAGATGGAGCACCTGTTGGAGATGAGGCACTAAAACTCAGTAAGTTCTGCAGATGAACCTACAGATTTCGAAGTCTTCACACACACTCCTACATAAATATGCATGCTAAGGTATTGACATGATGAGTGCATGCTGACTCCTGTTGATATCTGAGCATATCAACCACAGATACACATAAGAATGTCAAAATCATGTACAGACATTGTGTTTTAGACTATATGCTGCGCACCTGTACATTTTACTCTCTCATTGTCTCAGAAAATGCCAACAGGTGAGATTGAAGTCAGAGTTAAAACAGCTGAACTTCTGAATTCCTGCAAGAAGCTGCCCTTTGAAATTAAGGACTTTGTGAAGGTACCATCCTGTGTTATTAATAAAACAGAGTATTTAGAAAATGTTGATGACCAGTAAAGTATTTTCAGAGTTTTTTTTTAAGTTTAGCTTCTACAAAATTAAATATTATATTGTAGACATATCATAAATTATGTTCTACAATTTCTTGATCAACTATTATTTTTTTTTTTTTTTTTGAGTTTGAGTTTGAGTCTCACTCCGTCGCCCGGACTGGAGTGCAGTGGCTGCTCCAGGACACCGCAGCCTCGACCCACTGGGCTCTGGTGATCCTTCTGCCTCAGCCTTCCGAGTAGCCGGAATTACAGGCGCGC